AGCCAAACTGGCCAGGGCTCCATGATTTTAATTTTTATTTGCTCAAAACTTTACTGTTCCCTTAAAGAGATGTTAAAGCACATATGTGTGCCCGTGGCAATACTATCTAAAGTTTAAGTAAATGTTAACACAATTACTCATTTAAATAGCTAGTGCATAATATCTATATGATAATCCCAACTCATCTCCATTAGGACCTAAGACATCTTTAACAAAATATAGAAAAAATGATCAAACAGGTTAAAACTAGCATTCTTATAGATGTTTCTAATCAAATTTGAATAAAAGATGAAAACCACTTACAGATAAGAATTACCAAAGACAGTTTCTATAACTAGAATACCACTGTTAGATATAAAAAAAAAAAAACTATTTGTAGATAGATGACAACTGGTATCTAAAACCTTCAAGAGAGCAATATTTACTTTTTCTAATTATTAAGTAGAAAAAGTTATACTTCAGTGAATGATTAACAAGAGTTTAAATAAATGTAATTATAAATACTCAGAGAATAACATTGTGATCATGTTTAAACAGCTTGATTTGATATGAACACTCTCATACATGGAAAACTAGGCCCAACTAGAGATCAGAAAATATTGTTAAGTAATGGAAACAGTACTAAATATGACGAACCTATGAACTAAGGGAAACTTTACAATAGTTTATAGTATAAAATAAGTCATTTAATTGCATATAAAAGGCTTACTGAGAAAACTCAACATTAGAAAATAGTCTGTTAAAAGAAAAAGGTATAAGTAAAACTACTGAACATTAACGATTCTGTTGCTGAAAAGCAGTAGGGATGCTGAGAACAGATCAGAACCATTTCACTTGCTAACCAGTAATGAGTGTATCACACAAGAAATCAAAGTGGTTCTTGGGTGATTATCTAGTAATGCTTCCAAAAAGTGTTTGGGGGGGCTTTGAGGCCGGTGAAAACCAGGATCTTTTAGTGTCTATGGGAGTTCATCGGTTGGTTCTTCATAGCATCATATCTTGCCCAGAGATTATGTGACTGAGTCTTAAATAAAGGGCTGGGATTTACTGTTATCAGTTCTTCTTTGGTGTTAATCACATATGCATTGTATCTCTCCTCCTTTTACCTTTAAATATCAACATATTGTTATAGAATAAACAATAGTCTTTAATGTATAATGGAATCCAAAATAACAACTTCTTTTAAGTTTCTGTTTTTTCCTTTGGGATTTTGGAACTTTAGAGAAACTGAAGAGTGAAAGCAGAGAGCAATCAAATTCCCTGATAGAAACTCTGATTCAAACAATTCTCTTGATTTCTTTAAATTACAAAACGAATGCATTTTTACCACAATACATAAAGACATAAAGTTTAAAAATGAAGTCTCCTCTTTAGTTCTTCCTCCCCAACCCCATATCCCAGAAGTAAACAACTGTTAGCAGCTTCTTCAATGTCCACATATTTTTCTATCTACATATGAAACATTAAACTACAGTGTTTATTCTGTGTATTTCTGTACTTCCCTCTCCTATTAGAGGTCATAGGTCATAAGGCAGGCACTATTTTGTTCATCTTTTTTTTATAAATACCTACGCTAGTGCCTTGTATTTGTTAAATAAGTGTTTGTAGACATGAATAAATAATCAATGTAAGTGAATGAAAAGTAAAGAAAAGGGTAAAATAATAACTGTGGGTTGAAGGAACTTAAAGAAAAATAATTTATCTAATCTTGCTTTTGATGATGTGTATGATTTACTGTAAGTGAAAAGTTAAACAGGACAGAAGGTAATGCTGATGAATCCTCCATTTGATTGGGTACTGAGGTGATGTTCCAGACTGCTGCTTTCCTTAGCATGTTCCTGCACCGAAACACTGACTTTCTCAGTCCACTGGCCCTTGTTTCTGGACCACGGCTGTTATACACCCCTTGCATTTTCACAGCCTGTTCAATCACCATTAGGTCTAAGGTGGAAAAGTGTGTTTCAAAGGCACATAATTTAATCTACTTGACAACATGACAGTGAACTACAAGACCTAAATACTTCGTTCTAATTCTAGCTTTGTCACTGAGACTTTGGGCAAGTCATTTATTTCTTGGGTGTCAGCTTCTTCATTTATAATAGAAAAAATTTTTTAATTGGACCAAATGACCTTTAAGGCCCTTTACCTCTAATTAGCAGGCACCAGCACAGAACTTGGAGCAACACAGCCTGGGCTTGACTTAGCTCATGAAACTAGACAAGTTACTCCCCACTCTTCGGTTCCTCTCTTCTAAAATGGGAATGATCACTGTACCAGCCTCAAGAAATGTAAATGTGGACTAAATGAGATAGTCCATGTAAAGCACTTGGACCAGTGCCTGGCACATTTGGCACTAATACATGTTAGTTCTTACTACTGTTTATATTATTAATTTTCTATGGTTTTGTAAATTAATCACTCTTCTGTTCTATTTGAGCATGAAAGTCACTCATCTTTAAGGACCATTTAATAATGACTTGTTTATAGGTGATGTGATGTTAAACACCATGCAAACATAGCATCCCTGCCCTCTCAGTCTAACGTTTACAATTGTGTAAAGATCACCATCTCGCCCGGCTGGTGTGGCTCACTGGTTGAGTGTCGACCCATGCACCAAGAGGCTGCCGGTTTGATTCCCGGGCAGGGCATATACCCAGTTGTGGGCCAAATTCCCAGTGGGGGGTGTGCAGGAGGCAGCCAATCAATGTTCTCTCTCATCGATGTTTCTATCTCTGTCTCCCTCTTTCTTCCTCTCTCTCTAAAATCAATAAAGAAAAAATATTTTTTAAAAATAGATCACCACATAACCAATGGACACAGACAAATGTGGGAAAAGGCAGGAGGGGGACGGGAGTGGGCAGGAGAGGGTCAATGGGAGAAAAATGAGGAACATCTGTAATACATTAAACAATAAAGATTAAAATAAATAAGTAAATAAATAAAAATAAAAATAGATCACCATCCTCAGTCAAGACAGTCAAGTGTAGAAGTGGTCCATGAGAGATTCGTTTAGCCTCTGAAACCAGTGAGGACAGTATCCAACATTGGGACAGGGAATTACATGTAAATGTTACATGCTGTGCTAGGCACCTGGACTGCTGCATGGTTTTCTTTTTTTTTTATCCTCACCCGAGGATATTTTTCCATTTTTTGTTCAGATAGAGTGGGAGGGAGAGAGAGGAAGGAGAGAGAGAGAGAAACATCGACGTGAAGGGACACATCGAGTGGCTGCCACCCACACGACCAACCAGAGCCGGGGACAAACTGCAACCGAAGTACGTGCCCTTAGCGGGAACCGAACCCCGGTCTCTCCGGACCGCAGGCCGACGCTCTAACCGCTGAGCCAAACTGGCCAGGGCTGCTGCATGGTTTTCTGAACACCCCAAATTTGCTGGCAAATTTGTCTTCCAGACCATTCTAGGTGATTCTGAATTTTAGACATACATAGACATTTTCCTCTCAGCATGCAAGACTGATTAGTTCTCTTTTTTAAATCCTCACCTGAGCTTGGCCAGTGTGGCTCAGTGGTTGAGCATCGAGCCATGCACCAAGAGGTCGCCAGTTCAATTCCTGGCCAGGGCACATGCCCAGGTTGTGGGTCCAGTCTCCAGTGGGAGACATGCAGGAGGCGGCCAACTGATGTTCTCTTTCATCGATGTTTCTCTCTCTCTCTCCCTCTTCCTCCCTCTTCCTCTAAAAATCAACAAAGAAAAAAAATTAAAACAAATAAATCCTCACCCGAGGATGTTTTCCCATTGGTTTTTAGATAGAGTAGAAAGGAGAGAGAGAGAGAGAGAGGAAGGGAGAGAGAGAGAAACACTGACGTAAGAGAGACACATTGATTGTCTCCCGCACAAACCCGACCTGGGCTGGGGATAGAGCCTGCAACCCAGGTACATGCCCTTGACTGGGAATCGAACCCATGACCCTTTCGTCCACGGGCTGACACTCTAACTGCTGAGCCAAACCAGCCAGGGCCATTTAGTTCTTTACTAACCAACTTCAACAGAAAGAAAATATAATTTTAAAACAGTATGTCATGATTCATGTCCAGTGGCCTTTCCCCAACCGCTTCAAAATGTAGAATTGGGACATACAGAAAGCAAGATGATTTCATAAAGTGATCAGGGAGGCCTGGGTTCAAATCCTAGCTCCACCACTATCCAGCCTGTTAGAACTTCAGTTTCTTCTCTAAAATGAGAAAAATAAAATCTGCCTTGCACAGGTTGTATTATCCAAAATAGATGTCAGGTGACCAACATATTAGCTGAATATTTAGAATGAGAAAAATCTTACAACAAATTATGGTAGTCTCAGAGATTCGGATTCCTTTTTTTCTAAGTTCTCTTTAGGGAATTTATCAGAAAGACTTACCTAGCAGTGCTTCCAATCACAGGCTGACTTGCAACCCACCTAGAACATTTTACAAGGATGCATGCAAGCTTCAGCTTCCTAGGTTCATAGCGTATCTACCTTTCCTGCAGGCCCCAAGATGGGGCCTTATTTTTGTTATTATAAGAATTATATTATCTATGATTTTCAGAGTGACTTTTATATTGACCATCTTTAACTCTTCATTCCTAAATCCTGAGGAAAATCTTAAAGTTTCCAACCCAGGTTGTTTTAGCTTCAATTATACTGAGATATGGTCCTTTTGCATGAAAAAGCTATTAATAGGATTACAATTGTTAATTTGATAATAACAGAAAGCTGAAAATGTCATTCACCCTCTGCAAAATTGGCATGCAAATGTTATCTCTGGCAAGGAACCTGAACTTCAGCAAAGCTCCAATTTACTAATATTGATTTTTTCTAAACTATTTTCTAATATCTGGGGAAACCACAGATGCTCCATTTAATTTATTAGAAATTTTATTCTAGACCTTTTCCCCTTTGTGTTGCCAGGTTTTGATTCTGACTCAGGCATTAATTTGATTTAGTAATATTATAATGGAAATTAGAATTCTATAACAGTAATAGGAGCATATTTTTATATCTTATACAGTATCTCCTCAGGAAAACAGCACTATTGAGTGTCTATTATCCTATGGAGAACTTCAATCTTAGGTCACAGTGTTAAGAGCTTCTGGTTTTGGTCCCATAAGTTCTCTCTGAAAAGACATACAGGCCCATTTTTTTAAAGGAACAAATATATTCAAGTTTAGTTTTTACATGATTTCTGAGGGGAAATCCTGAAACTATACAAACTGAGAACAATCCATGATTCATTAAAATAATTTGCAAATATAATGATTAAAAAGAAAATAGGAGGAAAATTCATTAAAATGAATTTTAATATGATTATTTCTGAGTTATTCCAAATATAGAAAACATGAATTTGAACCATTAAAAGTAGGATGAGTATCGGTTGCAGTTTGTCCCTGGCCCTGGTTGGGTTGTGTGGGTGGCAACCACTCGATGTGTCCCTTTCACGTCGATGTTTCTCTCTCTCTTTCTCTCTCTCTCTCCTTCTCTCTCCTTCTCTCTCTCTCTCTCTCTCTCTCTCTCTCTCCCTCCCTCCCTCCCTCCCACTCTATCTGAACAAAATATTGAAAAATGTCTTCGGGTGAAGATAAAAAAAAAAAGTAGGATGAGTAAATATTTTCCTTATGAAAAGTGGTAACTTTGTTAATATTTAAATATTCTCTCCTAAGAATAATGAGGATAAGATATTATTGCCAAGAGAGTTTCAAGATTGTCAAAAATATTAAAGAAATAATAGTGACATAATATATTTTAAGAAAATAATAATCACATAATTTTTAGCAATAAACTACTAAAAAGTTTACATACCTTAGCACCCAATAAATATTTGTAGAATGAAGGTTAAAAAATCTGGAAGAGCAACTATTGTAATTAGTAGAAAACAATCAATACAAATATAGAGAAATGCTGAGTAGATGAAAAAATGAATCAAAGTGAAATTAATCCCAGCCCAAAAGGACAATGAATAAAACTCAATCAGCTTAAAAAAAAAAGACAAACATGTTAGCCATGCTACTGGAAGGGTAAAGAAGGGTAAGGGAGAGCTATTACAACATTATTTTTGACAGAAAAAGAGAAAGAGGAAGGGAGGAAGAGAGAAAGAAAGGAAGAGAAGAAGGGAGGGAGGCAGGGAGGGAGGGAGGAAAGAAGGGAGGGAGGGAGGGAGGGAGGAAGGAAGGAAGGAAGGAAGGAAGGAAGGAAGGAAGGAAGGAAGGAAGGAAGGAAGGAAGGAAGGAAGGAAGGGAGGGAAGGAGGGAGGGAGGAAAGGAGGAAGGGAGGAAGGGAGGAAGACCTACACAGACTTCCCCCTGTTGTTTTCCACAGCAAGTTAAATTATTTTCATCTTGCTCTTTCAAAGTATTTCAAATGTACATTTGTGTAGTTAGCACGTGATCTCATTCCATTTTCACCACAATTCTCTAGAGTGTTTATTTTTAGCTCAGTATAATGGAGGAGGGAACTGAGGCTGCTGGAAGGGAAATGAGTTATCCAAGCTCATAAAGCTAATTAGTAGCAGTGAGGTACTAGAGGCTGGGCAACCTGCTTTCAAGACCCAGGCCCTGTCCCTCAGAGTACCATGTAGGTGAGATGTACCTTTATACCATTCTTTTTTTTTTTTTTTTTTTTTTTTTTTTTCACATCTTTATTGTTGGATGTAAAATGCATTACAGATGTTCCACATTTTTCCCCCATTAACCCCCTCCTCCCCACTCCCGCCCCCCTCCCACCTTTTCCCAAACTATTGTCCGTGTCCATTGGTTATGCATATAAGTTCTTTGGTTTATTTCTTCTCACCCCCCAAACCCCTTTCCCTTTGAGATTTGTCAGTCTAGCAATGAATTTGTGCTTCTTAATCCCTTCACCTTTTTCACCCATTCCCCCAACCCCTTTCCCAACTGGCAACCAACAAAATGTTCTCTGTATCTATGAGAATGTTCCTGTTCTTCCTGTTCATTTGTTTGTAGATTCCATTGTTGATAGATATGTATTCATTGCCATTTTGTTTGTTCATACATTTTATCTTTTCTTTAAAAAGACCCTTCATCATTTCATATAATAATGGTTTGGTAGTGATGAACTCCTTTAACTTTTTCTTGTCTGGGAAAGTTTTTATATGTCCATCGATTCTAAATGACAGCTTTGCAGGATAGAGTAATTTTGGTTGTAGGTTCTTGGTTTTCATCACTCTGAATATTTCTTGCCACTCCCTTCTGGCCTGCAAAGTTTCTTTTGAGAAATCAGCTGACAGCCTAATGGGAACTCCCTTGTAGGTAACTAGCTGCCTTTCTCTTGCTGCTTTTAGGATTCTCTCTTTGTCTTGAACCTTTTGCATTTTGATGATGATGTGTCTTGGTGTGGGCCTCTTGGGGTTCATCTTGTTTGGGACTCTCTGTGCTTCCTGGACTTGTATGTCTGTTTCCTTCACCAAGTTAGGAAAGTTTTCTGCCATTATTGTTTCAAACAGGTTTTCGATTTCTTGTTCTCTCTCTTCTCCTTCCGGCACCCCCAAGATGCGAATGTTGGCACGCTTGAAGTTGTCCCAGAGGCTCCTTACACTATCCTCATTTTTTGGATTCTTTTTTCTTTTTGCTGTTCTGGTTGGGCGTTTTTTGCTTCCTTATATTCCAAATCGATGGTTTGCTCCTTGGATTTACGTACTCTATTATTGAAGCTATGTAAATTATTCTTTATTTCAGTTAAAGCCTCCTTCGTTTCTAACTGTGCAGCGATCGTTTCTGACTGGTACTTTTTTATGCTCTTGAGGCCCTCACTGAGTTCATTGAGCATCCTTATAAGCAGTATTTTGAACTCAGCATCTGTTAGGTTGCTTATCTCCATTTCGCTTAGTTCTTTTCTTGGGGTTTTGTTCTGTTCTTTCATTTGGGACCTGTTTCTTTGTCTCCTCATTTTGGCTGCCTCTCTGTGTTTGTTTCTGTGTATTACTTAATGAGAGGTATGGGGCTCGCTGAGACCCGATGCTGCTTGTTTGAAAGAATTTAGGAAAAACCTGAAGCAGGATCCAAGACAGGCCAATCCTATGGTTAAGCAAGTAGCAACAGCTTAGGTGGGCTTGAAAGTTGTGTGGGGCGGGGTGGGGCGGGGCCTCAGGGAGTCAGCAGGGTGGGGCTACCAGTGTGAGCCAGGTTGCTGGAGTCCCAGATATGGCTTCTGTCTGCCACTCCAGGGAAGGGCTCACCAAAGGAACAAAGGCCTCTTACAGCACGTTTGTCCCCGAGAAAGCCCCCTCTCCAGCCCTCGCTCCAGTGCCAAACAGCTCAGTTCTTTCCTGTATGTCTCTGGTGCCCCTCGAGCTGCCTCCCCTCCGAGCTTAGAGGGAGAGAGTCCGATAAGTCCGTGCGCGGGCCCTTTAGGGAGCTGCCTGTGGCTCCAGCCAGGTCAGCTTCCCTGAGCCTCAGTTTCTGCTGGTTTTTCCAGCCAGAAGTTATGGGGACTTCTCTTCCTGGCACTGGAAACCTGAGCGGGGCACCTGGTGTGGGACGGGGACCCCTCAGTCCTCAGGAAGGACCTTCCCAGCCACGGGAGCCTCCTGATTTTTATCCGCTACACTTGGGTGTGGGACCAGCCCGTCGCGCCGCCGCGCCACTGCCGCCACCCCTCGCGCCGCCGCCCCTCCTACCGGTCTGGATGTAGCTGCTTTTTTTGTTTTTAATTACGTAGTTGTAGGACTTCCATTCAGCTTGATTTCAGGCGGTTTTGGATGATGGTTGTTCTATAGTTTTGTTGAAACTTGGATGTGGTTGTGGCAGAACGCGATACTGCGTTTCCCTACGCCGCCATCTTGACCGGAAGTCCCTTTATACCATTCTTGATGCTCATGTATCCCTAAAAAAAAAAGAGCAATCAACACTTTGAAACAGGTGGTCAAAGAACACTCACACCAAAAGACAAATCGTCTGAAAAACAATTTGGAAATAAGTAAAACAACTTTAAAAATTGTTAGGTAGCCCTGGCTGGTTTGGCTCAGCGGTTGGAGCGTCCACCTGAGGTCTGGAGAGACCCGGGTTCGGTTCCCGCTAAGGGCACGTGCCTCGGTTGCAGTTTGTCCCAGGCCCTGGTTGGTCGTGCAGATGGCAGCCACTCGATGTGTCCCTTTCACATCGATGTTTCCCTCTCTCTCTCTTCCTCTCTCTCCCTCCCACTCTATCTGTACAAAAAAAAAAAGGAAAAATGTCCTCGGGTAAGGATAAAAAAAAAAAAATTGTTAGGTAGTCATTCTGAGATTAACAAAAGGAAATAATTCAAACAAATTGAAAGCTATATGCCCACAGTTCGTTATTACAACATTATTATGATAGAAAAAGGGAAGGAGAGAAGAGTGGGAAGAAAGAAGGCAGGAAGGCAGGAAGGGAAGAGGGAAGGGGAGGAAGAGTTAATTTCTATCGAGAGAGAGATGACTAAGTAAATCATACTTCACAAAATTGGTGAATTATTATACTGTTAAGATAGTTATGAAGACTAAAAACAACATGCCAAAAACAAAGTAATTTTAGCTGGGAAATATATTTGAAAACGCTGTAAAACAGTTCGGCTGTGATTGTGGAGTTTAAAATAAATTTTCTTTAATAGTTTTTACTTAATACTTTGTTAAATAGCTTTAACAATAAACAAATGTATAGTTCATATGAAGATATTTCAGCCAAAATGTGACTAAAATTAGGCACAGATTTGGAAATTTCGCTTTTGACAAAAAATTGGCGGTTCCTTAAATACAGACATGTATAATATGCTAGATTTGCTCGTGTCTTCAACCCACGCCTTCCACAGCGCTCCCTTCCACCAGTGTCCTGCCACGTCTTCCTGACCTCTAGCCCCGTCTTCATCTTTCTTTCTAGAGTTCTGCCAGCTCTCTCATTTGCCTCCTGTCATCCGCTGAAATGTAAGATCCTGAGCCAGAAACTAGCTGCCTTGCGAATATGATGCCATCAGGCACTGTTCTGAGCCTGCATCTCCAGGGGCCAGAAAGAGAACTGCTACAATGACATGAGGCCCTGAGAGCTGACTCAAAAAGAAAAAGCTGCTGACTTCCCATTTAAGCTACTGAATTTAAAGAACAAAGGTTGAAGCTCCCTTAAATCAATCATTCCAAAGGTAGATGGCCTTGTACTGATAGAGGGTA